AGGAGGAGCGAGGAGTAAAGCTGGGGGTGAAGGGTTTGGATTGGGGGACAGGGGGTGCACCCCCATCAGCAGGCCCTCCCCGAGGGGCTCAGAACTCTACCTCTTCACCCACGCCCCTGGTGCGCTCTGCCGAAGGAAAGAATAAGAATAGAAGAGGGGGGGAAGGAGGAAAAGGGGGACCCCCCAGCTGGGGGGCGAAGGTGAGAAGTAGCAGGACCAGCGGGGATGCAAGCAGCAGCCCACACCATGCTCCCCCCCCCCCGCCGCTGCTGCTGCTGCCCCTGCTCTCAGCTCTGGTCGTGGCCGCTGTCGATGGTGAGTGAGATTCCTCGGCCCCCTTGGACCCCTGGGGATACCCCCTCCCCAACCCCCACTCCTGCGTATGGATGGGGAAGGGAGCTGCGGGAGGGGGTGTCTTTTGTTATCCCAGTCCAGCTTGGGCAACTGCTGCTTCTGGGACCCCCCAGCCCAGACAAAGACCAGGGGCCTGGGTACGGAAAAAAGGGTTCCCCCTTTTTCAGATCTTGGGATTGAGAGGCCTTCTCTTCCTATCTTCTCGGGGAGGGCCTTTGCCTCCCCTACATCCTCCACCCCCCCACCTCCATCTGAATTGTGAAGGAATCTGGATTTGCAATGTACGGAGGCAAAGGGGGGGCTTTTTGCGGTGGCCTCTGAAGCTCTAAGGGGAGCCAGGCCAGGAGTGCCCCACTGGGCAGAGGGCAGGCAAGCCTGGGAAGGCTGTGGGTGGGGAGAAGGAGGGCCGCCTGCTTGGCTTGGGTGTGGAATCTGGGCCCCAGAGCCCAGGCAGGGGAAGCCTGGGTCCGGGGTCCTGCGCAGGAGCCTGGGTTCTGAAGCGGCCACTTCCCCCTCGCAGGGCCTCTGTCAGTAGCCTGGGTAGGGCTGTGTTGGCGGTGGATAGGAGGGCCAGCGATGCTATGTGACTTTGAATTTTCCTTCTTAATTCCTGGGAGCTTTGAGATGAAAAAACGTCAGATGTCATCATTGGGGAAGGGGACTGGAGAACAGGCCCGGAATGCTGGGGTAGGAGGGTGAGGGGAAGCTGGTTCCTCCCTGGCTCTTAGCTTGATCTCAGTTTGAATTGGAAGGAGAGTTAGAGGTTGGACGGGGGTTAGGGCTATGCCCCCGTACCCCAGTTTTCTGCCCCTTTAGTAAGCGTGAGAGCTCCCGCCTCTCCCCTATTCTATCCTATGTACGCACACTTTGCTCATGTAGCATTGGGTTTGGGCTAGAACTATGTCCTTTGATAGAAATGGGGTGCCCTCTCTCCCCTTTTTCTGTCAGCTGTTTTTTGTTCTTTTTTTTTTTTTCTCTTACTGTGAGTCACTGGTTCAAATATTGCCCAAGCTTGAAGCTAGGGTCATGGGGTTGGGCTGGGCCAGGTCCCTGCTTTGAGAGGGGTGACATCTCACCCCTTCCCGTCATCTTATAGAAGCCTTCTCACAGGGACAAACTGGGCCCCATAACATCCTACACCCCCTCATCTGGCTTCTAAATCTTGCCAGACTGGGATTGGGAAAGTTTTTCTCTGAAACCAGATTATCTCCCCCTCCACCCTCTCCCTAACTTGCTTCGGTTGGGGGAGGAGAGTTAGAGGCTCTGAAGCAGCAGTGCCAGAAAACCAGTGGCCGTTGGTCATGCCATCTTGGGGACATCATGCTGTCTTGGGGACGTCTGCCTGCACTCCCCTAGAGATGCCCAAGAGGAGGGGAGACACATGCCCCAAATAGTCTCCAGATCAGCCCCCACAGCCAGCCCCTGCCATGCCTCTCTCCACTCTCATGCCCTTTGATCCAGCCTTGGGAGGTGAGAGGGAAACGGAGACAGAGAGTGTTGGGTGTAGTTGCTTCTGGGAGCGCTAGCACAACATTTTTAAGGGATGCACTCTCAGGAGCCCCAAGGCGAGGGTAGATGGAGGTAAGCTGTCTCTGGAAAGCAGGGAAGGCCAGGCCAGTTTGGAATGGGAATGGGTCCTAGCAAACTTCACCCCCAGGATCCTGAAGAGGTCCTGTTTGCCACACCAAGTTCATTGGTGGCGATTGGAAGATGGATGCTGGACATGTTCTACTTAAGTGCCTCCTACCCTTTCTTTAAATCTCTGTCCAAGCCAGTACAGTACAATATCCTCTGCTGAGACAGAACTCTAGCCCAAGTCCTGGCCAGGCAGCAGTGAGAGGACCCTTCCCCAAACACACCAGTATTCCTGCCTTGGGAACTGGACCGCAAGCTCAGCTCCACCCACCCTGGGGTTTGGGGAAGCGGAATTGCATAGAGATGCAGGTCCTGTTCCATCCAAGGCAGCCTAGGGTATGCCCTCATCCCTACCCCTGGTCTGGAGTCCTGCAGACACATGTCTTCTCTGCTCCTGGGCAGCTTCTGTCCACCCTCCCTTCCTCCCTCTGCTCCTCCTCCCAGAGCCTTCCCCTGCCTTCTCTCCTTTTCCTGAAAGTGCCCCTGGAGTCCCCTTCTCTTTGGAGTGCAATGTCACTCCCCGCAAATGACCACATTGAGCCCACTTGCTCCTGGGGAGGATGGAGAAACAGATGGGTGGGGAATGGGAAAGGATGATCCGGGGCCCTGCTGAGATGAGGGAACATGTTGTGGTGAGGAGGGCAGCCCAGGCAGTTGGGTTCGGAGACGGCTGACTGCCTGCCTTCTTCCCTCACCCCTCCACACACCTCCTCCAGCCGTGTATTTGCTGTCAGTTACTAGGAAAGTAAACAGTTGAGGTGAGGTATGAAGCTGGGGGTTAGCCTTCTGGGTGCCCGATCGAAGGTTCCAAACTCCTTTCTCCCTTGTCCATCTCAGATAATTCAGCGTCTCCCCTTTTTCAAAGTGAGGATGTATAGGAAAGTCATCTTGGGATTGGAGGGACATTGTGATGTTTGGGGCTGCCTTACAAGACTTCCTTTTCTTCCTATCACATTCTCCCTCCCTCTCCCTCCATTTTCTCCATATTTTTTTGCCCTCTGCCACTCCCCCATTACTGGCCTCCAAAGGATGTCAAATCCTGTCCAAACGCCCCCACTCTTCAAACTCTTCCTTACCTTAGGGAAGACGTTCCTTCCTTGAGCCTCACCTCTTTCCTCCTGTGCAGTGTCAGCCCTCACACACAGAACCCCCAAGTCCAGGGGTGGTTTCCCCTGACCCCTGCCTTGTACTCTCTTCTCAGGGCCCTCCCCACCTCTTGGACTGTCCACCCTTCTGATCCTCCAGCTTTGGATGGGGGACTACTATCCCTGGGAAATCTGGATGCACCTTGGTGGAACTGTGCCAGGGCCCCCAACTTGGCGGTGCCGGCGTGAGCATTCAGGGAACCTGTGTGTTCTGTCCCAGATTTCAGCCTGGTTAGCAGGATCCTGCATTGTTTGGAGAAGGAAGCAGTTGGCTCTGAAGTGTTTCCGGTGCCGTGGCCTCAGGCACCCACGTAAAACCTCCCTAGGAAAGAGGTGAGGAGTGTGGGAGAAGAGACATGTGTCCCTCTGGCTCCCCCAAGGGAGACAAGAGTTTCTCCCCAGCCTTGGCTACTTTGGCTGAAGAGCTGTAGCCTTTCTACCGGCCCTGGCTCCACAGGCGGCCTTGGCTCCTGTTCTGGGTCTCTTGTGGTCAGGCACTGCTAGGGCTGAGACTTTGTCTCCCGAGGAGGGTATATGCTGCTCTTCACCCCACTCCGAGTCTCAGGGGGGTTGTCATTCTCTGAGTTCATCCCAGGACAACTGTGTCATCCTCTTGGCAAGCTCTGTACTGAGCCTCCTTCCTGTCTGTCTGTCTGTCATCAGCGTGTGCCTTCTCCATCTTCCCAAACCTCTCTGTCTGTCATCCTCTTGGGTCATTTCTCTTATTCCCCATTTCTTGTCACCTTCTCTGCTCTGACTCTTTTAAACTCTGTCGCTTGCCTTAGTTTTCTCCATCTGGCTCCATTCACCTTTGTGCAGGGTGTCCCCGGAGTTACCTGGGTGCAGGAGGCTCCCCTGGGTATTCCTACTTGCCCCTAGCCCTTACCTTGCCTTTTGGAGTTATTTTTCCTCTCCCAGCCAGACCTAGAATGCCCAGTTCGATTGTGAGCGCTCCCCCTTCACTTTCCTACACATTCCTATCTCTTCCCCCTCCTCCAATTTTGGGAACGAGTTTTGGAGAGAATGTGTCTGGAAGAAAAGAACTTGATACACGTCGTGGGCTGAATCGGGGGTATTTCAGAAGGAAGGAGAGAGGCTAGATTTCTAGCAGAACTTCCTTTCGATCAGCAGCCTAAGCACTGGAGAAAGATGGGGAATGGGTCAGGGTCTCAGTGCATTTCTTTTTGGTGTGCATGGGCCATGTGGGGGGAGGTGGGGGCTGGAGGGTAGGTGGAGAGGGCTTATGAAGGTCTGGTAAGAGATACGGTGACCTCTGAAGGCATT